TTACATTACAAAAAGTAACTGAAGAATGTCAACGAATGATAAACGTAAAAAAAGACACTGCTCGGATTGAGAACATTTCGCGAGTACAAAATGTACGACAAAAAAGTGGATACAAAAAGAAAGAAAAATAATATGCAGTGCCTGTGTGGAGGACAGCACTGCAAGAAGGATTTGCTACTTTAAGGATAAATATTATAATTGTGGGCGTGTAGGTCATAAAAGTTCATTGTCGGACAAAACAGAAAAATGAAAAGCCAAAGTCTCAGGCAAAAGCGAACGTAGTTTTGTCTAAACACGAAATTGAGGAGGGTCAAAGAAGAAAATGCCTCAGTGTAAAAATAAGTGGGCAGACCGTAAAATTATTACTCGATTCAGGAAGTGATATCTCTGTGATAAACGAGCTAACATGGAAAAAAATTGTTTACCCACCGTTGACGAAGACAGACAAAATTGCCAGAGGAGTGTCTGGAAAAAGACTCAAATTTAGAGGTGAATTAAAATGTAAAATTTCGTTCATTCACAAATCGAAAGTATATGTGCTCGCTGGTTCAGTAAACATCTTTGGTACAGACTGGATAGTATTATTCAATTTGTGGGAATTACCAGTAAATTCTTTCTGTAACCAAGTGAACGTCAGCGAAAATTATAACACAAAGCAAGCAGAAAAATTTATTACAGAGTTGAAAAATGAATTCCCTCGTGTTTTTTCAGGACAAGGTCTGTGCACAAAAACAGAAGTCAACTTTGAGTTGAAAGAAAATGTGAAACCAATTTTTAAACCGAAAAGAAAAGTTCCATTTTCGGCACTAGACTCAATAAATGAGAAGTTAGAAAGGTTGGAAAAAATTGGCGTAATTTCAAAAGTGGATTGCTCAGATTGGGCGCCTCCAACCGTTTATATAAAAAAGAAAAACCGAAAAATCAGAGTGTGTGCTGATTTCTCGACATGCCTGAATGATTGTTTAAAAGACCATGCATACCCTCTAGCATCTCTCGAGGATATATTTACTAAATTGAACGGAGGTAGTGTTTTCAAAGTTGGACTTGTCGGAGGCTTACCTTCAGGTAAAAATGAGTGAAGAATGTTCAAAGTACCTGACAAATACTCATAAAGGGATTTTAAAATTAAATCGTCTCCCTTTTGGATTGAAGGTAGCTCCAAGCCTATTCCAGCAAATAATGGACACAATGTTGGCTGGTATGGAGTATGCGATCGCATACTTAGACGACATTTTGATTAAAAGTGAAAACGAGGCCCAACACAAAACGCATATTAGATCAGTATTTCAGAAAATTGAGGAATACGAGTTCAAGCTGAATGCTGAAAAATGTGAGTTCTTCCTAAAGAAGATAAAATATTTAGGTCAGACAGCAAAGGAAGAAAACTGGACCCAAAAAGAGCTGAGGCTATAAAAAATGGGAGACGAAAGTGAATTGTCGGGTCTGTTATGCAATGCCATTAGAGAACTACTGGTTACTCTAGATGATGTGAAAAAAGCAGCAGAAAACGGTGATTTCATTAAGAAAATGAAAAAGCAAGTTTGGTTGAACGAGGAAACAAAAAAAAAAGGAATGTGTGTGTCACCTTTTTCAATATTTAATCAGGTATTACTTTACGCAGACAGTGGTAATGCCGTGTACTTTACAGAAAAAAAAATTCTAAAAGAATTTCACACTGGTCATCCAGGAATTTCGCAAATGAAATCTCTAATGCGAGGATACACGTATTGGCTGAGGATGAACCAGGACATAGAAAATGTGGTGAAACAGTGTAAAGGATGTCAGCAAGGGATCCACCTGTAAAGAGTCAACCATGGCCAAAGACAGATGTCCCATGGACTCAACTGCATATCGACTATGCAGGACCCATAAATGGATCGTATTACCTGATTGTGGTAGACAGTTTTACTAAGTGGCCAGAAATTGTTAAGTGCAGACATCCAACTGCGACAAATACGATAAATACTCTTAGTGAAATTTTTAGTCGTTTCGGACTCCCTAAAACTTTAGTCAGTGAAAATGGAACACAGTTTACTGGAAGTGGATTCAAGAAATTCTGTACAGCATTGTCCATCGATCACGTGACAACGCCACGGTGTCCATTCGATCACCCAAGATCGAATGGACAGGCAGAAAAATTCGTGGACACATTTAAACGAGCCTTGAAGAAAAGTCAAGGCGTTGACACTAATGAACAGAGTATTCAGACATTTTTGTCAGTGTACAGAATCACGCCAAACCCGAATACGACGTCAGGATTATCGCCAGCAGAGTTGATGTTTGCAAGAAGAATACGCTCTGTTTTCAACAGGCTGTTGCCTAGTCCGGCGAAGAAAACTGCGAAAAAACAAAACTACATGACTAAAGTATATAAGCCAGGAGATAGACTTCTTCAAAAAATTTAGGGCTGGTAAAGCGTATTGGGAAGAAGATGTAATAACCAAAAGAATTGGTCTAGTCATATACGACATAAGAGGAGAAAAATTCCTTTATAAAAGACATTTGAATCAGTTAAGACCCGGACAGACTACAGAGGTCGCGGAAAATACCAAGGGATTCCAATGAAAGTCTTATATGATGCCTTTGATATTCCTGTGCCAGTGAGTCAACATTCGCCGATGGAGGTATCCCCGACCTCAAGGCCAGAGGTACCAGTGTGTCAAACGCCACCACTGCAAGGAGGATTGAGGCGAAAAAGGTTTAGAAAAAAATTTAATCGTTTATGTCCAGACCCTAAGAAGAGGAAGTATTAAAGCTAAAATTCACGGAAAATTTAGCTCAGCTAAGGAGAGGAAGTATTGAAGCTAAAATTCACGGGAGAATTTAGCTCAGGGGGAGGTGATATAATGGAATATGCGTACACCTGTGTTCCCCTTCACTGGAATATGATTGGCTGGTGTCCGCCATAAATACCGACGGACGTGTAGGAGAAGAGAGCCTTAGTCTGAGAGCTAAGTCTATAACGACTACGCCATTGATCTACACTTCTTACCTGCGACTACAACGCGTACCAGTCGATTACTGTTACCATATTCTATTTGGTTATAGTAGCCAAAACCACTTAGCTACTTCGTTCAAATATATCCTTTTCCAGGACATATCACACCCCCCAAAAAAAAAAATAAGAGAAAATGGGGAATGTTATCACGTTACCTTCCTCACAAGACAAGATGCACATTTTCCATATCTTACTGCACAATGATTACATTTCTTGTATTTTTTTCTTTTTAACACACATAAAAAATGAAACCGTGTTTATCACATGTTGCAACAATTTGCAGCAGATCACACACAAAAATTTTAAAAAATCATTAATGTGTGTGTGTGTGTGTGTGTGTGTGTGTGTGTGTGTGTGTGTGTGTGTGTGTGTGTGTGTGTGTGTGTCGGTGTCGGTGTCGGTGTCGGTATACCGCAACAATGTTTATCTTCAGTCTGCTGGTGGGTTCTTGTGTCGCATAAAATCATCAGATGCAAGGGTAAAAATTTATTTAGAGGTTGAAATTAAATTTATTTTTAGAGGTTGAAATTAAAATAGAAAGTTGTCCTTTTCTCCAGAAACTCAACCAAAAAGAAAACATGAAATATATTGCTACAAATGTCTTACCTTTTTCCTTTCTTTTCTTCGGATCCACACGTATAGTGGGAACTTTGTACACTCTTCAATCCGTCTGAATCCTGGGGCACTACAAAATTCATTAATTTCCTCTCCTCGCACTCACATTCTTTCACCGGCTCATTTTGTACTCTATGCTTTTTCACCCAAAGTCTCCCATAACCCACTAAAACAATCACTAGCACCATAATAACTCAGTTACCACCTACTGACAACCAAACTATAATATTTGCTGTTGGATCCCCTCGGTAGAGTCGGTCCTGTACACTATCGCTAAATTATCCATTAATTCATGTAAATTTAATGATCTTAGTAATTGGGGTAATTTGCGTGCAGTTATATTTGTTTCCCTTATTAGGGGATCCCGAGGCACTGTGCACTTGCTAAGTGAGACATTTACCAAGGTCAGAAAGATCCAGTGCTATCTACCAGTAGCCAGATCTCTAATCGAATGTTGAAAGATTTAGTAGACTTCCTCAACAATTTCATTTTATCACTCAAGATTATAGGATAGGTTCGAGGTTTGGTTATTTTATTCAGAGCTCTCCACGGTGGCGTGGACCGTTCTCTTATGCCTGCTTCTAGCATATCCCCAAGTGTCTCTTGTGCGAGTTTATGCTCATGCAGTGAGGTCCGGTATCTTTATAGGCAGGTGATTATCCGTGTCTCTCCTCATCTCTACTGTTTTATTTGGCCTAAGTCAGCTACCATGTTTCTGTTGTCCCTTATAGATCGCGGGATACCCCCTTTGCGTGTATGTGGAGCTAATATCTCCCCCTCCCTAATTATAGAATCCTTATAGTTATTTCTACAGTCTTCTGCACATTCTATCTTCATCTTCATAATAGCTGGCATAGCACCCCTAATTTTCTCTCCCTTGTGAACCCTTATTGCACTATTAGTAATACTACTAGCTAACATTATTTTGATAGAGATTATAAAGTCATCTTCCACTACGGACTCCGTTGAAGCTAATTCTCCCTCTCCAAAACGAGATTCATCCGTTTGGGGGAGCTGATATATTTTTCTTCCTCTTAAGAGTATTTCTCTTTTACCCATCTTTAGCAGTGGAAGTGGTGGGTCGAGGTTTATCTGCGCTTCATTACTTTGAAGCCAATCCCTACCTAGTATCCTGGATCTACACCGGTTGGGTGTCATATACATTTGCTACACCGTGACTGTTCCTCCCACCTCTACAGGAAGGTTTACTAATCCTAATACCTTAATTTGTTTTGTAACATCTAGCTTGTTTTTCCTAAATCCTAGTTGAAAATAATCCTTAGTTCTAATCATCGACATTGATGCCCCTGTATCTGTTAATGCCACTATTTCCTTTCTCTCACCATTGCCTTACATGTTAAATCAGATTCCTGACCGAACAGAGCGAATGTACACCTCCTCTGAGTACAGTCCTTCCTTAAATGATCAGATTGTCCACATCTACAACAAGCCATTTGACTGGGACCTAGGTGAGGTTTCTGTTTATTCCTCTCAGTTGAGTGGACCCTTTTGCTACAACTGCTACTAGAGCGACAACTGCCCCATTGTTCCCTTCCATTGAGACGTGGTTTCTCTCTTTCCCTAACGGGACATCCCATCCCATGCGCGTGCCTTTGGGAAAACTCCAGTCTCTCAAGCAGTCTATGACTCATTTGTGCCACCGTAAATGCTTAAGTGATGTGGGTGCTGCACTGGGTTTATCGGTCCTTACTGATGTGTTTCTAATCGCGTCTGTATAATACTCCGACAGTTGGGTTTGGGCAGCTTCTCAGTCTCTCTCTACAGCATCCTTAAAGGTTAATTTGACCAAGTTTAGAATTCTATTAGCTAGTTCTGACAACGTTTCCCTCTCACCCTCTCTAATTCTAATTCTCTGGGAGCATCAATTGCGCTTATGTATTTTGCGTATTGAATTGTTAGCTGTTGCAAGAGGTCCGCCCAACTATCTGCAAGGATGTCGTCGAGGAATAACCCTATATAGTCGGAAACAGTGCCATCAGAATAATAAGCTAAGTTGACAAATTCTGCCGAAGTTAGATTCTGGATTCTGGCTTTCTTTTTCAGCGCTTCTATCCAAACCTAAAATTCCGATTGCTTTTCCGAATATATAGGAATCAGAGAGCCCTCCAAGACTATTGTAAAAACTGAGCAAGGAATAGCATTAATCTCTACTAATCTATCCATAGTTATATATATATATATATATATATATATATATATATATATATATATATATATATAAAAAAATTAAACACTAAAAATATAATACTATCGCTAAAAAATACAACGAAAACAATAGAATAAAATAAAAATAGCACGGCTGGACAAAAATAAAAATGGCCGGCGACATAGCGAGAGCGGGGTAGATTAAAAAAATCTCTTACCTTGATATCAATTATTTTGTTTTCTTTTGTGAGTTACTTTTCCTTTTCTCTTCTGTCTCCTTGACGTGTGCGAACAAAAAAAAAGTTCTCTCTTTTTCTTATTTTTTAACGATTTATTTTTTCCTTTTTAAAGTTATTCTTTTTTCACATTTATCTTCCTTTATCACGTTGTTTTTGACAATGAAATTTATTTTTTTAGTTGTTTACTTTTCAACAGTTCACTTTTTCTTCTTCTTCTTTTTATTTCCACGTTATGTTTCCTTTTTCTTTCCTTTTAAATTTATTTACTTTTCAACAGTTCACTTTTTCTTCTCCACTTCTACGTTGTGTTTCTTTCCTTTTCTTCAGTTCTCCTTTATTTCCTTAATTCTGTGGCAAGTTAGTGTCTAATCCTTGTCGCGAAAACCAAATGTGAAAATTCCTTCCGCACGGCCGTCACTATGACATCCAAGGTCGGATATATGCGTATATTCTCCCGACTCGCTATGTTCACATGCCGTGATCGAATTCAACAAAGAATATCGACAAATACTGGAGACGAGAATCCTAAGAAAATCTGGTTATTATTTGACTTAAAATGTAAAAATCTACCTATTTATTTCCTAAGGATGTGTGAAAAATCATATTGCTATATATATATATATATATATATAATGAGAGAGAGAGACTTGTGTGTATATTTAGGCAGCATATCTTCATTCAAAACATGTTTCATTGAATAACATATATATGTCTATTTTTATAATAATCCTTTCTCGTTCTCTAATCAGTTGCTTGATATTAAGAAATTTTTAATTTATGCGTTGTAGCTATAGAATTTTTTACAAAACAAGTGTCCCGATATAAGGGAGATAACCAGAAATTGGTAGAAATGCAAAATGACATTAAATGTTTTTTAATTACACTTCAGCATGTTGTTGCTACACTCGTAATGTATTTGCTGAGTGTTGGTCGGTTGCTTTTTGATATAGAGGGGCTCTTGAATATGATTTGTTTTGTTTATTATTTTCGTGGTTGATGCTCTCAACAAGTATTTTCCTGTATATAACTGTGTGTGTGTTTGTGTGTTTCTGTATGTCCGGCTACAAAATAAATATAGTCTCAGTATCGCCCTAAAAAGCAGACATCTGTGTGACTTATAAATATTTTTCGGCCATCTTATGGAAAATATTTTTTATTCAATCTTTAAAAAATAAACTTCATAGTTTTTTGGTTTGTAACTAACATAAAAAAGTAAATAATCTTCAATTAAGTTTTATTAAAGCAAAAAAAACTATAGTGAGCCTTATTTTTTTCGAAATTAATTTAAATAAAATATAGTTACATTATTCGGACTATTGTTCTCATCTTTGTCGCCATATTTTCGGCCGTTGTACGCTCCGACCTTCTTCAGTTGGTTGGAATGTCGAACTGAACCCTTTATTTCGCTCACGGGGGTAGACTGTTCTAGTTAGTAGACTGTCAGTTATCAGTTATCTCCTGTTAATTTCCCTCTGAAAGTTCTCCACTGCCTTAACCGGGTATTGAACTCGCACTCTTTGGGTCCTGTCACTGGATCTAACCAACGCCTTTATCCACTGTGTCACGTTTCCCTGTGTACGAATTTCTGAGTATTATAAACCTAATGTCTCAGAAACCATTTTACCAGTGCTCATATTGCAATTATTTGCTGCTATCATTACATTTTTTTTTACCAGAGCTCATATTGCAACTTTTGTTATTATTGTTTTTCTCTGGCACTCCTTATTACTGGTTCCCATATTGTATTCATTTCTATGCTTGGTCGGCTCAGGAGATTTTTGTGGTCTAGCATATGTGCTGATTCCTTAAGTTTACGAATTTTCATCTCAGAAATATAGATACAAGATATAGTTATATTCGTAAAACAAATATTCAACACGACTAATGTTGACCGTGTCATGACTGTCTCAGGCTAATTTTTATTTAACTAAATTTAACTTTTCAAATGCAAATATAACTTGAAATTTAAACACAATCGCTTTTCAAAACCAAATTCTCAATTTATCTTGCTTCTACTTTTTCAAAATAGTTAGTAATTAATGCTTAAAAGTAAAACTTTATTTACTTAAAAAATTCCCCTCTAAAATAAATAGTAAATAATTGTTTTTCGAAGAAGTAAGGTCCGCTATAGTTTTTGCTTGAAAAATGTTTAAATTATATGTTTAAATATACCTTCATTTAAGTTTATTTACATTTTTATTAATAATAATTTGGAAAAAGGTTAATGAACATTTATGTAAGTTTGATTTGTTTGAAAACAACATTAACACTATATTTATGTTAGTATTTAAATCGAAAAATAAAGTGTCTTTTTGAATAAAAATATAGAGATGCTCAGCCCCCTAAGACCCCCTGCCCCCGAGCGTGGTATTGGTAGTGTGGTATTTTACTAACTTTAGTTATTTTGTAACAAACCAAAAAAAAAAAATAAATTTTATTTTTTTAAAGATTGAGTAAAACATTATTTTCCATAAGATAGCTGAAAAATATCAATAAATTGCGAATAATAAACTATTATTCAGAGATCTTCCGAGCAACACCGGGTATCCCTGCTAGTATATTATAAGTTTTACATGTTTTTCGGGATTTATCGCAAAAATATGGTGTTTAATCATTCTTCGTACAGTAAATTTGTCCTGTTTATAATGCCCTGTGCATCTGGTTGCAGTAAAATATATTGATGTTTCTTTGTGGGTTATTTTTTATTACTGGGGTCATGTATTTTGTTTGTTTATCAATGATGTAGTTGGTGAAATTATTGTTGACTAATGTTTGTTTTATGTGTTTTAGTTCACTCAGAAATATTCTCTTGGAACACGAATTTAGGAGTACTGTATTGAAGTTTTTTTTTTATCACTGCTATTTTATATCTTTCTGAGCATTGATTATTATAGTTTAGAAGTCAAGTGTTTGCACTGGTGTTTTTTTTATACGGATAGGTGGTAAATACTTTGAATTTTAGTTCTATTTTGTTATTAACCATGAGTTCGTATATATATTTTTTTATTTTTTGGAGTTTTTTTACGAAAATTGATTTTAGATTTATAATTTAGCCCTTATTTTTATCAAAACGAAAATGAGCTCAACGTTTTCCTTGTATAGAATTTATTGTTTATCAATTGTTTCAAACACTTTGTTTTCAATATGTAACATGTAAAAATTAGAAAAGCACATGGACCTAACTGCTTTCCCATACACTGATATATATATATATATATATATATATATATATATATATATATATATATATATATATATATATATATATATATATGTGTGTGTGAGTGTGTGTTAAAGGAACGTGTTTGCTATTAAAACTTACATGGGAGAGCCGAGTTCGAATTCTAGTCGAATCCATTACATTCATTTACGGAAAAGGTATGAATCGTCTTCTTCTCCCCCAGCTATAGGCAAATAGCAGGACAAACCGGGTTCTGTAGCCTTGTATGGCAACTGGTCTACCGCAGAAAGAAATGGCAACCTACTGTGCGAAAAAATCTGCCTCGTCAGTCATTTATCTTTCGATACATGATCGCCTAAGAATATATTAAGTATGGCACATAACTGAATTGATCGCCATTTAAATCGTAACAACCTCATATGAGCATATAAATGTGATCACGCGCGTATTTTTGTATGTATGGAGTTTCATTCTACTAAAATTAACTTGAATATTACAGAATAAGGAAAATCATTTAAATATGCTCGATGACAAATAGTTCGATTTTTATTTACAGAAGCACAATTATCTTGAAAATCACTGACATATCTGAGACCAAATCGAAAATAATATAAGTAAATGCTTTATATTTTTCAGTTATCTTTCAACTTATTTCATACCCTATCACAGTCAAGTAGGCAAGATAATTCCTACCACGAGTAGTACAACCTCTCCGCTAGTGAAAAACTGATGTCCTCGTCGTTCCAGAATCCTCAAATGGTGACAACTTCCTCATACTTAGGGAAGAAGTGGGAGCAACAATAACATCGAAGAAATGTAATACAGCTGGAATTATTAATTCACCATTGACCTCATTATACATGGTGGTGAATCAGTGATAGACATGCCAATCACTGGTCAACAAAAAAAAGCATTTTTTTAAGTTGTCTATGATTTAACAAATGATTTAGAACAATTTTTCACCGCTGAATCCGAAAATGATAGCCGTTTCTTTCGACCAGTGCTTTTGTGCTAAGTTAAGTTTTTAAAAATTCGATCTTACTTATTATAAAACGCAGATTGTGTGTGTGTGTGTGTGTGTGTGTGTGTGTGTGTGTGTGTGTGTGTGTGTGTGTGTGTGTACGTTTATATATTGGATCGGATTTCCTACATTTTTCAACTGATTTCAACAAAACTTCACAGGACTGCGTAAAATTAGCTTGCGGTGGTTCTGACAGCGCCAAAAATTGGAAAAACACAATTGTTGTTGCATGAAATCAATTTGAAAACACGATAAAACACGATTCTGTCGCCAGAATGAAAGGAGGACAACTCATATCGAGTTATACTTATTATAAAACCCAGGTTGTTTGCGTGTTTCTGCGTGTTCGTTTATATATGGGATCGGATTTCCTACATTTTTCAACCGATTTCAACAAAACTTCACTTTTTTTTGGCAGATAGTGTTTCTTATTGTCTTGCACACTTTTTTCTTTATTTTTACATTCAGAATGCTTTAAAAATTCCATTTACAAGACAATTGTTTATAATAAAATTCTATTCAATCGGTAGAGACTCATAACGATTTTGTTTGAGTTTGGGTTTGACCAATTCGTAAAAAAAAAAAAAAAAAAAACTTATTAAGACATGCGTGTCCGTCAACCTTAAACAATAATCTTTGTCAATTTTATTTTTCAGTCTTTATGATGGAAAAGTCGATACTTGATCTATCTCTTACTGCTACATCCTCGGGCAACGCCGGGCTCTACTGCTAGTTTTTACTAAATCGATTACATTATTGTGACATTATCTATTGGATTTTCTTAATATTTTTCATACAAAATAAGTTTTAAGAGAAAAAATTGTTTTCTAATACAATTTATTAATTGTGGCTGCATATGAGTGGAGGGGGCATGTTTGGAAAAAATTCTAAATCTTTTTCATTCCAGTTATAAATGATGATGTGAATGATTTTTTTTTTATTTTATTTTTTTTTTTTGCTTTTTTTACAGCTTTTGTTTAATTGTATTGTGTACTATAAAGGCTAGTTCTTATTTTTCCAACCACAAGTTAACAGACATCTCTCCTTCCTGTCGACGCCTTTATCTATTTACTTTCAGTCCAGTCAAATAAATCACTTATATGTAGTTCGAGCCTGCGGCCAGCCTTGCTCATCGACTGGCGTGATAGTTCATCATTTTTCTTTCCTGCACGTATTTGCTTATCAGTGGCATCAGCCGTCCGCGAATGTCATGCTTGCGCGCAATTTCTTCTCTATTTATCCCCTTGCCTTTTTCATCTGGACAGATTGCCGGCAGCTCAAAGGATTTTAGATCGTCCATTACACGCACGACGAACAGCTTTTCTGTTTGAACACTTACGAATAATAGGCGACCGAAACTTCCGTCTAACAAATAATCATATGTCAACTTAGTTCTTCAATCTGTCTATCAATTTATCTATCTCAGTGTCTCGTTCGTTGCTTACTCAATTGTTTCTCCTTTCATTTTTCTTTATCCTATCCTCTTTCCTCTCTAAAAATATGGAGAGAAAAGTATTCATCTGGGTTAACTTTAATGCCTCAAAAACAAAACTGCTTTCTTCTGTTACTCACCACAGAGAACCATCCCTGCCCCCCCCCCCATTAGAATGTCTGAGGATCAACTTCTGGAGAGCATCTCTTTGCGGTCTCACATTGTCTGCTGACCTGAGATGGAACAAATACATTGAGTCAATAGCTTCGTCCACCGCAAGGAAAGTTGGCTCCATGTGCCGCGCCAGGAAGTTTTTTCTCGCCGGAGTCGATCCTTCAAATCAAACAATACACGGACATACACAATTCCGGAAAATCCTTGTTGAAAATACAACTATACTTAAACATGAAAACAATAAACAAAAACTAAAAATTATTGAAGCTATATACATAAAACTGTTGAAACCTAACCTGAACAAAATAAACTACGAAATCTCCACAAATATTCTTAAATGTCTATAATTGATAACAGAAGCCATGGGTTTATACCAACAGCCTCACATAATACTTATCGTTTTCTCTCTGGCGTGGTCATGTGTGACATCACGAGCTGCGGCGCGATTTTCGCTTCCGCGTCTCGTATACACGAGTTAATCGTTGCGTTGAAACTTTTAAGGCAACAAAAGCAGGCTATCATTATAGTCCGTGTATTGTTTGATATATTGAAAAGTAATTGCCATCTTTGATAATGGCTTATGTAAGCCGAAAACTTAGATTGGATTTAAACATGTATCAATATGGTGATATCCGTTCGTCTTTCAATGATAATGTTATTAAGCTTATCATACAATATGAAAGGAACTTAAAATAAATAGACAAAACTTGTCTATATTATTTAATGAAACATACATCAATATATATATATATATATATATATATATATATGAGATATTAAGATTTTCAGTCCCTGAAATTCATATAATGTATATTTTTGAACATTTAAATTAATGTTTCAGTATCCATTGTTTATATATATATATATATATATATATATATATAAACACACACTACGGTTCAAAATGTCGCGGCCCCACCTGGCAATTAAGAGAAAACATGGCAGGTCCTACATACATACTATGGTTATATATTGTGTATGTATATGTATGTGTTTTTATATGTTCTGTGGGCATTTTAATTTATTTTAATATGTATGAGTGTTTTTATGTAATTTTTTTAAATATTTATATTTTTATATATATATGTATGTATATGTGTGGATATGTATATATATATTGTCTGTTTTTGCGTGTGTTGTGGGGTGTGTGTATTATGTATGGATATGTATGTATATGCATGTGCCTTGCATATATGTATTTACTTATGTATTTGTATGAATGTGGGGATTCGCATGTTTATGTAGCTATATTTGTGTATGTGTTGGATTTGATAATTATGCTGATGAATTAGATATTGAATTTAAGATTTTTCTTGTTTCTTGTTTATAATATATTATTATCACTTCCTCCTCTTATATATGCATATATATGTATATGTATGTATATATCTATATATATATGTGTGTGTATATATTTGGCATTATATATTTAATTATTCTATTTTCATTCAATCATTTTATTTTCATTATTTTTCATTATTCTCCCCAACCATGTCTTCAATAATATAATTCCCCACAAAATAGATTTTCTAGGTCAAGCGTGGAGACTTTCTCTTATTTGTTTTTTTTTTTTTGTTTGTTTTTTTTTTTTTTTTTTTTTTTTTTTTGTCTGGACAAATTTAAACAACTTTGTGAAAATTATACCATTTTGTAATTTCGATCGGATGAAACAAGTATTAAAAACTTACTTGATTTTTAATCGTTTTCTATGATGCGTTTTTCCACACACACAAAACAAACCACTAACTTACGCGGACATCTTTAGGGTGCCGTACAAACATACACAAACCAAAACACAGCAGCCCTTCTACAGAACGCATAACCCCATTATCCCCTGGTAGATATTCAACAGCAAACACACTCAACCATAAAAAAAACGGAATAATCCCCCAACCAGGAGACCTGAATGGGGGTATAGCATCCCTAATAGAAGACATGATGCAAGATTTTACGAAAGAACTTCGCCATGCTTGCAAATTCAAACTTGACCCATACGGGCGAGTTATAAATTTAAGTAACAATAAATTTTCACTCAATACATCCATGGTATTAAATAAAGGACTAAGCTTTTGCCCTAGTCCCCCAAGGTTTGATAAAGACACCTTGGCAAAGGACCTGAAATCCTTCTTCAGAAGCTCACTACGGTGACAATGATCACACACCTTCCATACTTGATACATTAAAAGAGAAGGATACTACCTACACCCAACAAAACACAGACATTACTATAGAGACATTTGAACTAGCCGTAGCAAATGACATAAAGAAAAAAATAGCACGTAAGCTGCCACGTGAAAATATTACTGAAGGCCCTTGACACATAGAGATGACCTAATCATAACACAAGCTGACAAAGGGGGTGCCACAGTGATCTGGGGAATCAAAGAATACATTAAAGAGGCCAACAAACAGCTAGCCGACAAAGAAACCTATAAAAGCTTACCTACAGATCCCTTTCCCGAATACCAAAAAGAATTAACTAGCTCACTAAACATGATGCTTTGCAACAATCTAATCGACAAGGAAACATGCACAACACTTACACCCACAAACATCACACCTGTTCGCTTCTATCTCCTTCCTAAAATACACAAATACAACAACCCAGGAAAGCCGGTCATTTCATCATTCAACTGCCACACGACCAAAATTTCCAAATACGTAGACCATTACATACAACCCCTAGCTAAGGAAGTAAAATCCTACATCAGAAACACAACAGATCTACTAAACTAAATTAATCACATACAAACAGTTCCAGAGAATGCTATTCTAGTGACTATGGACGTAAGGTTACTCTATTCAAACATTAAACACAGCCGCCCTTCAGGAAGCACTTACTAAAAGAAGAAAACAAGACCCCCCCACAGAAGTCATCATAAAACTCATGGAACATGTCCTTACATTGAATACTTTCAACTTCAATGTAGCACAATACCTTCAAATAAGAGGTTGTGCCATGGGCACACCATTGCAGCGTCATCATATGCTACAATATTCATGGGAAAATTTGAGGAGACCCATATCTATCCAAACATTGGTAGCGACTGCGTATTCTATGCAAGATATATCGATGATATATTCTTTGTATACACGAGTAGTGATGACAAACTTACCCAATTCCTTATGACCCTAAACACAGTGCACGACTCAGTTAAGTTTGACTAGGAAAAATCCACAACATCAGTAACATTTTTAGACACCCACATTTACATAGATGAAAACAGGAAACTACAAACGGCACTACACACTAAAATCACCGACACCCACAACTATCTACACTTATCTATCTACAAGTCTTCCCACCCTAAACACCAATAAATCTAGCCGCATTCCTCTAGTAACCACTTTCAACCTCACTCTGCCTCCACTATCCCAAATAATCAAAAGTCGCTGGGAAATACTACATCTCAAACCAGACCTAAAAAAATTGTTTAAGGAACCCGGCCCTCTTGCATATCGTAGAGCTAAGAACCTAAAAGAAATCATAGGTAGTAACCATATCTCAGGGAACAAGGTAATCCGTAATAAACTAACAACAAAAACAACAGGATTTTCCCAACCATGTAACAACAAAAGAAGTTTATGCTGCAACCACATTAGACACACGAATTTATTCCCTAGCTCAGTCACTAAATCTACTTTCAAAATCTACCACGATTTTAACTGTAAAAGTCATAACATAATTTACCTCCTAGAATGCACACTATGCCAGAAACAATATTTAGGAAAATCTGAATGGCCCTTTTACTAGAGAATTAATAATAATCGCACTCGAATTAAGTCGACTCTCCATGAAAAATTATTACCTGTAAAACAACATTTCCGCCTAGAAAATAAGTGGATGCAACGTTTAAAAACACACTATCCAGACGGGTAAAACCATAAATTTAACAATATCGATAGTATTAATATATAACTCTACAAATCAAAACCTACCCACACAAGACAGACATGCTTACGGAGGTGTTGAGGCCTCACACTTATACACTGTTGTAGAGTAGTTTTCATAGTGGAGGCTTGTATTTCACTGAGTCGGTCCTAAAAAAGGTTCGACGTGCAAAACGTTAGGAACTTGAAATAATAGTTAATGACGCAGCAATCTAGTTGTGGTGGTTGATACTTTAATGTCCGACATCGACTGACTCACCAACTCACTCTGAGCCCCCTCACCACTGCTACTACTTATTATATGTGGGAGAGTCTATTAACAATAGAATAGGTATGTCCCGGTATAACATACACACACCGACACGAATATACACACTTACACACATCATACTCACTCACTCCCTAATGAGCCAAATGATAACACACACCCACAGTAATATACACGCTTACACATATCATACTCACTCACTACATAAGAACCAAATAACACACACACACACACACACTTAACAGAGACACATCCCCTCTCCAGGAACCAATAAAACTGCCAAACTGATCAGAGGAATTCAGAGCAGCATGGATCCATCCAGCTCTTATCTCAAATAACAACTTAAAAGAGACTGTTTGACCAACACAAGGAATGTTAAAAAATTCATGTTAAAAAGATAAAAAAAATTTAAAAAAAAACAAATGAAAACTACAGACAAAAGTTCATTTTCCATCAAGACATTTCTCCTGATGATGGCCATGTTGGCCGAAACTAGTCGAGGAATCTAAATGAAATAATAATAATAAAAACGAAAGAATATTAATCTACAACCCAGTGTGTCTGAAGATTTTAATTTTTTTAATATTTTTTATTGTTCAATATATATATATATATACAGTAGCGGCC